CAACTGAGCTATCAGGGAAGCCTCAATGAAAGTGAAAGTCGCTCAGTCCTGTCTGACTTTTTGTGAACTAACCCCATGGACTAGTTCTCGAGGCCAGATTACTGGAGAGGGTAACTTTTTCACTTCTCCAGCGGATCTTCCCAACCCAGGAATTGAACTGGGATCTCCTGCATTGCAGGTGGATTTTGTACAAACTGAGCTATCAGGGAAGCCAGCTGGCTTAAAACTCAGCATTCAGAAAACTAAGATCATGGCATCTGGTCCCATCACTTCATGGCAAATATATGGGGAAACAATGGAAACAGTGATAGACTTTATTTTCTTGGGCTCGAAAATCACTACAGATGGTGACACAGCCTTGAAATTAAAAGATGCTTGCTCCTTGGAAGAAAAGTTATGACCTACCTAGCTGCTGCTGCTGCTGCATTGCTTCAGACAGCACATTAAAAAGGAGAGACGTTACTTTGCCAACAAAGGTCCGTCTGGTCAAGGCTATGGTTTTTCCAGTGGTCATGAATGGATGTGAGAGTTGCACCATAAAGAAACCTGAGTGCCGAAGAACTGATGCTTTTGAACTGTGGTGTTGGAGAAGACTCTTGAGAGTCCCTTGAACTGCAAGGAGATCCAGCCAGTCAATCCCAAAGGAAATCAGTCCTGAATATTCATGGGAAGGACTTATGCTGAAGCTGAAACTCCAATACTTTGGCCACCTTATGTGAAGAACTGATTCATTGGAAAGGACACTGATGCTGGGAAAGATTGAAGGTAGGAGGAGAAAGGGATGACAGAGGATGAGATGGTTGGATGGCATCACTGACTCAATGGACACGAGTTTGAGTAAACTCTGGGATTTGGTGATGGACAGGGAGGCCTGGTGTTCTGCAGTCCATGACGTTGCAAAGAGTTGGACACGACTTAGTGACTGAACTGAACTGAACTGAACTGACTCATTCATTCAACCAATATTCATTAAGTATCTACTTATTTCCAGCAGTGGAAGCTGGGGATTCAGTAAAGAACAAAACAGATATTGAGCTACATGAGCTGTTTGAATACTTTGGAGATTAATCCCTTGTTTCATTTGCAACTGTTTTCTCCTATGCTGGGGGTTGTCTGTTCATCTTGTTTAAGGTTTCCTTTGCTGTGCAAAAGCTTTTGAGTTTAATCAGGTCCTATTTGTTTATTTTTGTTTTTATTTTCAGTACTCTAGGAAGTGGGTCACAAAAGAAATTGCTGGGATTTACGTCTCAGAGTATGTTTTCCTCTAAAAGTTTTACAATGTGCAGCCTTACATTTAGGTCTTTAATCCATTTTGACTTTATTTTTATGTATGGTGTTATGTTCTAATTTTATTCTTTTACATGTAGCTGCCCAGTTTTCCTAGAGCCACTTATTGAAGAGACTGTCTTTTCTCTATTCCATATTCCTACCTCCTTTCTCATAGATTAGGTGACCATAGGTTCTTGGATTTATCTCTGGGCTTTCTATTCTGTTCTGTTGATCAATATTTCTGTTTTTGTGCCAGTACCATACTGGCTTGATGACTGTAGCTTCGTAGTATGGTCTGAAGCCAGGGAGCATGATTCCTCCAGTTGCATTAGCTCTGCTTTGCTTTCTCAAGAACAGCAAGTGCAAAGGCCATGGGGCTGGGTCAAGCCTGACACTTTTGTGGGGAAAAGCAAAGAGTCTGGGACTACTAGAATGGAGCAAAAGATGGGGAGCGTTATAGGAGGTGATGAAGATCAGGCCATTGGACCTCGTGGAACCCAGAAAGGACCTTGGCTTTTGCTCTGAGCCCCACGGGAAGCCAAAGTCTGAGATGGTCACAGTTACCTTTTAACAGGATGGCTCTGAATGAGAACTGAGAACAGATGAGTGGAGTGCCAGGACAGAGGGATGGCAGTGAGGATGATACTGGGTGGCACTGGCCCAGCGTGGTGGTAATAGGGGCAGTAGGCAGTCTGGTTCTGGATGTATTTTGAAGGTAGAAACAATAGGATTTGATGATGGCTCTTAGGGTACGGGTAGAGCTGTTGATTCCCTCAAAATATTGATGTAAACAGGTATTGAATTAACAAGTTGAGTGGAGTTTCAGTTAAGATGGGGAAGATTGGAGAAGGAGGGTGTGTGTGTTTGTGCATGTAAAGATCCTCATTTGAATATGTTAAAAGTGATGTATCTGTTAGATATCCAAGTGAAGTTACCAAGTAAGCACTTGAATAGATGAGTGTGGAGATGAGAGAGAGTTTCAAGTTGGGGGTAGAAATTTGAGGATCAGCAGCAGATAGGTGATTTAAGTCATGAGATGGGATGAGATCACTTTGGCCACTTCTTAGAGAAGTGGTCTATGGATTAAAACTTAGGGCTCAGAGGGATAAGGAGGTATCAGCCTATGAAGCTGAGAAAGAGGGGTCAGAAAGAATGTGATTTTCTGGAAAACAAGTGAAGAATATGTTTTAAGGCAGAAACAGTGATTAGTTATTTCAAATGTTGCTGAAAAGTCTAATAAGATGAGACTCATTTAATGGGATTTAGTCGTTACATTTGATAATAGAGAGTTCATCAGTAACTTAAATTAAAGTATAGTTCATTTATAGGCTTCCCAGGTGCCACTATTGATAAAGAACCTGCCTGCCTATACAGGAGAGAGAAGAGACGCATGTCCCATCTCTGAGTCAGGAAGATCCCCTGGAGGAGGGCATGGCAACCCACTCCAGTCCTCTTGCCTGGAGAACCCCATGGACAGAGGAGCCTGGCGGGCCACAGTCCCTGGGGTCGCAAAGAGTCGGAGATGAGTGAAGCGATTTAGCACACACAGAGTTAACTTGCGATGGTGTGTTAATTTCCCGTGTGTAACAAACTGATTCAGCTTTACATATTTACATATGCATTTACATATTTACATATACATTTACATATACCTATTCTTTCTCAGACTCTTTTTCACTGTAGATTATGACAAGATATTGAATACAGTTCCTTGTGCTACACAGTAGGTCCTTGCTGTTTATCACTTATATATATAGTTGTATGTGTCTGCAAATCTAACTCATTTTCTCATTTGTAACTTTGAGAAGAACTTATTTCTGTTGGGCTCAAGGTCTAAATAATGCAAGACATGTCATCAATCTTTATGAATTAAGTAAGGAAATGGATTTGGATGTAAACCACTTCATCAAAAGCAGACTAGGGTGAGAGGACAAGGTACTGAGGAAGAGAATTTTAAATCCCTTCCCAGTACTAGTCTATGATATAAAGTATGGAGATGATGTGATGCTTAAACAAATAAGCAACCAAACAAAAATGAGAACATCATCCAAATAGGATCACCATAGGTACTAGACTTCAGTGGGAACCATGGCAACGGGAAGAGAGGCCTTGCAGAAACTTTGTGAGTGTGTGTGTGTGTGCACGCGCATGCTTTGCTTTCTCAGTATATTTACCATGCTGTGGCCTTGTCAAGAGCAAAAGCTAGGGAAAGATAAATAGTAATTTCTTACCTTTGGGAAAAAAACAAACTGGACTAATGTAGCTGGTTACATATCATCTCTATGTTATTAATTTAAATGTAAAAATTCAGTTTCAAAAAATGAATAAGGTTGCAGTCACGTGGGTGGATTTGGTAGGAAGTCTAATTACGTTGCAAGGCTGGAAGGTAATCTTGACCAAAATAAAAATATATCCCTTCGATTTTTAGAATACCTATAACTCAACCTAAGTAAAATGGAAATTGGTAAAAGGGGCAGAGAGATGGGCAGGATTCATCAGATCAGCTTAATTTAATTGTATTTATTTTTTGCAAGTATATGACTTAATGTGTTAATATTAATTGGTGAGACTTTATGATTGATACATAATTATATTGTGGCCATATATATATATATGTGTGTGTATACATATATATATATATAGACTGTTTATTTATTTGCTTATATACATATATCTATGGTAAAGCATAAAGTATTTTATTCCATGAACACACCATATAATCACATTCTTAGATTCAAAGTGAGTGGACCAAATATGAACTTGTTAAAACAGAAAGTCACAAGTTGTTTTTTTTTTAATTAATTTTTATTGGAGTGTAGTTGATTTTAGATTAATTTTAAAATTAAAGAAATGTTGACCTTTGCCCAATAAGACTCAGGAAAGCTAAAAGCACATGAAAAATAATGATCACACTGCTTTGTATATTTGGGGTTGCATTCTTTGCAGCCTCAGCTAACTGAAATAGTCTTAAAACTGGCACAAAGCTCATGGTATAGGACAGGCATGGCCCTGCCCAGAGGGTGGAGGTGAACCCTAAACATACCACTTCCTATGGGTTACTGATTTCCACTTAAGTTAGGGACAGAGATTGATTGACTAACTGCTGACCAATCCTGGAGTGGTGTGCAATAGCAAAGGTGAAAACAAAGATCAGAGATGATCCACGGAAGGAGTAAATAAATTTGAGTCTCTCTCTTTTTTTAAAATATAAATTTGTTTATTTTAATTGGAGGCTAATTACTTTACAATATTGTAGTGGTTTTTGCCATACATTGACATGAATCCACCACAGGTGCACATGGGTCCCCCATCCCGAACCCCCCTCCCACCTCCCTCCCCACCCCTTCCCTCTGGGTCATCCCAGTGCACCGGCCCCGAGCATCCTGCCTCATGCATCAGACCTGGACTGGTGATCTGTTTCACATATGATAATACATATTTAAGTCTCTTAAATGCCCCCTTTAGGAGTGGTGACTTGACAGTGAGATGCAATAAACTCCCACCCTCTGTAGTCTTCAGCTCTAAAAGCTCTGTGTCTGGATTTTTTATTAATAGAAAAGTATTTATTTATTACTCATTTTTCTTCCTCAGGTCTCACGGGAGACCGGGGACTGAATCTAGGCCCCCTGTGTTGGGAGTGCAGTGTCTTGGTTACTGGGCCGCCAGGAAAGTTCCCACATCTGGACTTCTAAGCCAGCCTGGCACGTTCACACACCTCAGGTGCAACGGCCATGGCCCTCGTGGGCCATCACGTGGGGGGCTTCCTGCGCGTTCGTCATTCTTCTCGTCCTGAGCCCATCTGCGTAAGACCTCAGACTCCTCTCCTCCCATACGGCTTCAGGTACCTGTGCTTTGCTCTCAGAGGTTTGATTCTCATGTCTCCTTCTGCAGGGTGACAGGAGAGGCTCCAGCCTCTCCTGCAAAGGAAGGGAGGAGATGAGACATGCAGAAACCACATTTTCTTAATGCTGAGCAGAACGGCACCCCTCGTCTGGGAAGGGTTTCATACATTGTTGCTCAAGCTGAGGACTGGCAAGGCCATTTCTAATGAATGAACTATTGTGAATTATTCTGGAATGCTTGTGCCACCCACTTAAAGCCTCCTTTTCTTCTGGCAATTTACTGAATAATTCATGATGCGCCTCAGTTTGGTATAACTCATCATCACAGTTTGATCAGTTAAGGAAGTGGCCCTGTTTGAGAGTTTTCTCAGAATATTGGCTCACCTGAGTGAAAATCAGGATTACGTTCCTCCTACTTGGTATCTGCACACGTGAGTAAGTGAGAATGACCACTGCATTGATGATTGTCTTAGGTCAGGACCCCCAGAGACAGGTCCCGAGATGAGGATTTGCAGGTAACTGATTTATTAAGGAAGTGCTCCCAGGAGGCACCAGTGAGAGGCCAGGTATCAGGACAGGGAAAGGGAAGACGGCAAGCCGCAAGGGCACTCCAGGCCAAGTCCCACGTGGGACGTTTAGTCTCATCCTTGGGGGGCCCGGAGGGGAGGCGACTGCCCCCCACGAGTCACCTGGGCCTCCAGACACTCACATCGCCAGTCACTGTGGAGGCCCACCCCAGGCCACGTAAATTCCCAGGGACTTCTCCAGCGCCCCTGGGATCATCCTCCCAAGGAGGGTTTGCGGGGGCCACTGGAAGTAAACAGCGAGGAGCAGGAAGGAATCACCGCAACGGTTAGGGGAACGCATGGGCATCCGGGGTGGCGGGGGCACGGTTGGAGGCAGTCACAGGGCCTGCCCCGTCGGCAGAAACACGTAGTGAGGCTTTCGGTACCACGACAGCTGGTTCTTCCTGTGCACCATTCAGTTCTTTCAATAGCCTTATGGATTATCCTTATTTTACATGCTGAGGACTGAAGAGTTAAGTAATTTGTAAGAATATTCCAGAATATTCAATGATAGACTGCACATAGACGCAACTCCAGTTCTACCTAAAGACCAAGTCCACAGTTCACTTTGTTTCCTCTGATTACACTCCTTTCTGGTCTCCTAGATTTTGGCCTCACTGCTTGGAATGTGGGGTCTTAGTCCCCAGATACCAGCGATCAAATCCTGGTGTCAAACCCCACTGGAAGCACGGAGTCTTAACTGCTGGACAGCCAGGCAGGTCCCGTAGGAAATCTTTTTCTTCCTGGACACTTATTATATTCTTTATTCCTCTCCTCTTATTACATTCCTTACTTTTCTCTCCTTTTACTATATTCCAATATTCATTTGGTTATGTTGCATAACCAAAGTGAGAGGTTCTGTTCTGGAAGGCATGGGGAAATTGGGGGTAGGGTAAATAAGAAAAACTGAGATGATAAAATAATTTGTAAGCAAGAGATACTATAGCAAATGAGTAGGGATCATTCTATGACCAGGAGAGAGGAAGAAATATAATAATATCTTTAAGTTCATGAGCGGTTTTAACACAGAATAGATTGGCCAGTTGTGCTCAAATATCAACAGAGCAGAATAAAGAAGCAGCCTCCTTGCTATTATAGCAGGAGGATTCTGTGTTGAATTAAAGGAAGTGCTCTCTGGCCATAATGACTATTGAGTACCAGATTGAAGTCCTGTAAACTCAAATGAGAAAGAAAAGAAAAGGAAAAATACACAGATGCAAGCCTGGCCTGCCATCCTGTGCAAATGTATGAGATGTTACCTTGGAGCCAGCTGCTTCACACCTGCAACCTTCCACAGAGTGGGAGCTGTGAATTGAAACACAAAACAAAACAGTGAACTGCCCTGGAGCTGAAGATGGCCCACCCGAAGCCAGGAGAAAGGCTAGTACTGTCTGGGCTGGCAGTTTGCTTCCCCATGAGAACTCTTGTTTTCACTTTTGTCCTTTCTGCCTTGAAGAAAAGATCACAAACGCTGCGGCATATACGCGAAAGAACATTTTCACAGAGAGATACAGAGAAAGAACATTCGTCGAGGCTGCAGCGTGGTCTGGAGCCGCTGACTGCTTGGCCAGGAGAGGGGATGGGCCCTGGGAGGTGGGACGTGTCTTTGAAGAATCTGCTGTTTGGCTGCTCTCCGTCCATCCGCTGCTCCCTCCCCTGGGGATTTTCTCTGTAATAAGGCTCCGTTTAGATTTCTCAAATGTTAAAAAATGTATACACTCGACGATGATTGTTAAACATTAAAAATGCATGTCCCCAATGATGTGCTTGCTGCCAGACCAAACTACTCACTATTTTCTGATAGGGCCTGTGCTGAAAATTAATTGAGGAATCACTTATGAATATATCTTCCGCAAAGAAACTCTGATGTGGATGGACTTGTGTTTTGGGGAAAAATCCATTGCAAACATAGCCAATGTAGCTTTGAAGGCCCTAGGTTTTCAGCTCCACTGTGCCCTTGAGGTTTCCCAGCTGGCACTAGTGGTAAAGAACCGCTTGCCAATGCAGGAGACACAAGAGACATGGGTTTGATCCCTGGGTTGGGAAGATCCCCAGAGGAAGGCGTGGCAACCCACTCTAGTATTCTTGCCTGGAGAAGCTCATGAACAGAGGAGCCTGGTGGGCTATAGTCCAGAGTGTCACAGAGTCAGACATGACTGAAGCGACTAAGCATGCATGCGTGCATACATGTGGACTTAAATGGATGCGTCTGAGCTAGGGTAGGAATTTGACCATTGTTCAGATTGTTACTTCCCCAGAAAACTGAATTCCTGTTTGGATGTGGGACCCCAGGACTGTCTCCATCCTAAAATACCCTTCAGTGGAGGCTTGCAAGGGGCTTTTCTATGCATTGGGTGAGGCCGGAAGTGAAAAGTAAGTTGCCTCTTGAAGTTCAAGGCTGCTCTTCCTCTGGCCAGAGTGGTAGTGATGTGTGTTTATTTTTTCTGCACTGCTTGGTTTATAGAATCTCAGTTCCATGACCAGGGGTTGAACCTGGGCTGTGACACTGAAAGCCCAGAATCCTAACCTGTAGGCCACCAGGGAACTCCAGAGTGGTGATTTGTTCTCTGCAAAAGAGGATTCCCCTGACTTCCAGTTTAATAGCAGCCATTCATAGGAATGAAGAATTTGTACAAGAGTGACAATTATTATTGAGCATCTACTATGGATCAAACATGCTGTCTTTCACTGTATGTATATTATCTTATGTAACTTTCATAGTAACTTTCAGGGGTATTATTTTCACCATTTTATAGAATAGGTAACTGTCTTTAAAAAGTCAACTTGTCTGAAGTCCTATACATAATACATGATGAAATTTAATGGAATTAGAGCTCTCACTTGCCTAACATCAAAGCCTCATCATTTCATAGATGTTGTAGTGGGCATTTATTTCTTGGTTGCATCCCCGAGATCTATTCACCCTTTGTCATTATCTTCTTCTGGCATATGTACCTTCACTGCCTGTCCCCTACAACACATCACAGCCATTTGATTTGTGCAGAAATGACCCCATATCTGTGTTAGATGTGAGTTTAGATTGATATATGACAAACACTAGATTCTATTCCCTTTCGCCATTTCCCCTGCCATATTGCCTGGTACAAACATTAATAGGTATATTCATGAATATGAATATAATTCAGAGTCAGTGAAACAGAATGAGATACCTGCTGGTCTTCTGGAAATGAGTAGCTCCTTTCTTTAACTGTGTTATATACGGAAGTGAGTTCTGAAATGGTGGCAGCATTTTCTTACCTGCGGGATACAGCATGGCTCTGCTGGGGTGTGCATTATGTAGAATCTAAGTCTGAAGCCACCAGGACAGAAGACAGAAGTCAGAGGCAGAATTCAGGCTCATACTGTCAATCATTGAGCTCCTGGATCAAGCCTTACCTGAAGTAAGACCTGATCTTGGAATAGTTACAAACACGTGTTCAAACAACTGTTTGTAGTTTTAGTCACTCAATAGGTTCTGTGCCACTTTCACCATAAAGAGTTGTAAGTGACACAGATACCCTGGTATGAATCACATTCCTGAAACAATTTAGAAACCTAATTAATCAAATTAAATTATATTCAGGCTAGTCTCCTGAATAGCTGATAGTTGATAGCTAAATTGATAAAGAATCCTCCTGCAACTCAGGAGACCTGGGTTCAATCCCTGGGTTGGGAAGATCCCCCGCAGAAGGGAAAGGCTACCCACTCCAGTATTCTGGCCTGGAGAATTCCATGGACTGTGCAGTCCATGGGGTCGCAAAGAGTCAGACAGGATTAAGTGACTTCCACTTTCACTTCACAGGCTTTTCTCACTAAGTGGCAAAAGTTGTCCACTTTTTTACAAAGATTCTGAGCAATAGAGAATGAAAATAAAGAATGCTTTGGTTAAGGAATTTAAGTTAGGCAGAAAAAAATTAAGTACATGATGTCATTCTCTGATAACTCTAATTAATCTGAGTTTTAATTCCATAGGAATAATAAAAACTGGGGTCTGGGTTTAAGTTTGAGGAGCAAAATCCTCCATTTTTTTACATATGCTTAATTTTTTAAAATGTGGGTATACATTGGTTTCTGATCTGAGCCAACATATTAACATTTCCTACGGAAAGTGTATTTCTCTTTATCTTGAGAGCTGCTCGTTTTGCTGAAAGTATCATGATGGTAACTTCCCCAACATGTGATAACGACCGGAGCTGCGGTTCTCAAGGTGTTTCACAGACCGCAGGGAAAGCCAGGTGCCTGCCACTGTCCTCTAAGCTGAGAAGCTGACAGAGGGTGGGGAACGCTGTGAGGGAGGGGGGAGCAGTGAAGAGAAAATGGGAGGTGGAGGGAGAAAGAGAGGCTAATTCCACAGCTTATTCCACTGGGAAATATCAGTTTTAATTGGCAGGTTCCCATACTTTCTGGGCCCTTCCAAGTCTGCAGGAGGGACTCTACTCACGTATTCTCATAGTCACAGGAGTTTTCAGAATCTTCGAGAGCTAGGTATTTTAGCTGAAGTTCATTAAGACAGTTGTCTTTTCTCTCCTCAAACACTCCCTGCCCCATCATATTTGCTTGGGTTAGGCTGCGTTGGAGAGACTGCAGAAATTCTAGAAGATGCAGTTCAAGAGGGATGCATTTATGTGGGCCCCAGACATATATTCAGTTAAGGTATTGCTAGCCATCCATCCTGGGATTCCCCTATGGTTCAGAGGGTAAAGAGTCTGCCCACAATGAGGGAGACCTGAGTTTGATCCCTGGGCCAGGAAGATCCCCTGGAGGAGGAAATGGCAACCCACTCCAGTATTCTTGCCTGGAGAATCCCATGGATGGAGGAGCCTGGTAGGCTGCAGTCCATGGGGTTGCAAAGAGTCAGACATGACCGAGTGACTTCACTTTCACTTTTTCCCAGCCATCCATCCCAGCTAGAACTGCCTTTCAGAAATATTCATTCCATCACCTGGGCCAACGTACCCAGCACTGAGACAAGAACCTACAAGGTCATGTATTTGACCGTGAAATGAGTGGGTGCTAAGGTGTCCAGCACTGGAAGTATGCAGGTAGTGAGGAGACGCTTGGTTGAAATGCACAGAAACAGAAACGAATCTATGGGAATTCTTCCAATTACTAGAGATGTAAAATTGCCGATGGACGATTCAGTTCTTCCAATATGAAATCAAACTAGAAACTGTGCACTGACCAGGAATATAATAAATAATGATGCAGGTACAATGGCTCATGGTATATGCATGTCTCTAGAGGAAATAATGAATTATCTTTTTGTCTTCTTATAGATGATGTTATAAAATTGTCATAAAATAGATGAACAATGATTTTGCACAAAAATGTGTTATAAGTGGTGAATTAATAAATATACACATCATTTTTGAATTTTGTGCAGCTGAGGATTGTGTCAGCTTTTTAAAATTAGGTAGATTTCTTGATTTCTTATTGTTTATAAAAAACTCCCGATCTCCTTATTTTCTCAGCCGGGTGGTCATGAGTAAGGTAGCTAGTGTGTCTTATTATTCTTATCTGTCAAATGGGTATAGCAATATCTAACTATTGCAAGTAATATCTAACTAGGAAGAAAAGCTATGACAAACTTAGCATATTAAAAAGCAGAGACATTACTTTGCAGAAAAAGGTTCATATGGTCAAAGCTATGGTTATTCCAGTAGTAATGTACAGATGTGAGAGTTGGACTATAAAGAAAGCTGAGTGCCAAAGAATTGATACTTTTGAACTATGGTGTCGGAGAATAGTCTGGAGAGTCCCTTGGACTGCAAGGAGATACGACCAGTCCATCCTAAAGGAAATCAGTCCTGAATATTCACTGAAAGGACTGATGCTGAAGCTGAAACTCCAATACTTTGGCCACCTGATGTGAAGAGCCAACTCATTAGAAAAGACCCTGACGCTGGGAAAGATTGAAGGCGGGAGGAAAAGGGGACGACAGAGGATGAGATGGTTGGACGGCATCACTGACTATCAATGGACATGAGTTTGAGCAAGCTCCAGGAGATGATGAAGGACAGGGAAGCGTGGCGTGCTGCAGTCCATGGGGTCGCAAAGATTAGGACATGACTGGTGACTGAAACACAACTGTGTATTAATGATTTCTGAACCTAATTTAATTTTTAAACTGACATTCTTTGGAGCCTAAACACTTGGGCCTGACCTTGGTCTATTCGAGCTTTAAGTGAAAGCAATTGCTTCACCATCTAGGTGAATTCTTATACCTCCCAAGATTACAGCCTGATAACCACTTGTGGGGCCATCACACTTTTCAGTTCAAATTTTCCCGGAAGGGGCTTCTGGATTCTGGCATAAAAGGAAAGATCCAGTCTTCTTTTTATATATTTCAACATTTTATCAGCTTTATTGAGGAATAGTTGCCATCAAACAAGCAGTGCTTATTTAAGGTGTACTGTTTGGTAAGTTTTGACACATGTTTACACCCACGAAACTACAAACATAATCAAATAATGCAAGCACCCATCACACCCAAAGTTTCTTCCTACTTCTCCCTAATTGCTTCCTCTTACCTCTCCCCTTCCCAGCCCCAGTCAGCCTC